AGGCGGATCTGGAGCAGCTGGTCCTGGCAGCAGATCCAGAGTGGGGTCTCGAGGCACCTCCGTGCTGGGATTCCGCCTTCCAATGCCAATTCCTATTCTGCCACCGCCGTGGCACGCCGCCCGCTGTTTTGTCCCCCGCCCCCCGGTTTGGGCACGCAAACCCAGAAAGGTTCACCACCACCACTGGCCTAGATAATGTCTTCCAAAAAGTATTTTCTAAGCTCTGCCCCCAACAGTCTCCAAATCTTTTTAGCAGGAAGAGGAAATGTGAATTTCTTCAACCCTGCACACAAAGTGAGGTGTGTGTGTGTGTGTGTGTGAGAGAGAGAGAGAGAGAGAGAGAGAGAGGGAGAGAGAACAAATGAGCAGGGGGAGTACTGTGAGGGTGCAGCCCCAACCTCTACAACCACCTCTTTATGTTCTGTTTGGGACTGAATAAGTTGTCCACCCTTGTTTTGGAAGCATTGGAGCAACTACTGAGAAGACCTGTTCTTCATTGCTGGGGTTTAAGCAGGCTCCTGCTCACTGACCTTAACTGGCAGACAGGTACACAGGTAGAGGTATATTCCCACAACCCTAGCATTAAGAAACAAGGTTGCAAACTGCTGGATAGTGCAGTGTTTTAGGCATCTGGCTACAGAGCCAGAGGTTGGGAATTTTGTTCCCCACTCTGACTCCTTGACAGGGGCTGGACTTGAAGATCCATAGGGTCCCTTCCAGCTCTGAAGTTCTAAGATATTATGATTATATATATATTTAAAATAACAACACAAGATCCATGCTAATTGACCTGAGCAATAAGCACTGTGGAAGATGGTGGGGTCCGTAGGATTGGGGTTTAAGGCATCCACATTCAGTATATGGCTCCAGAGAGCAGTTGACTCATGAACCATTTATCTCTCTGGATAGCCAGGTCATACAAATATCTCTAAATTGTATGATTTTTCAGCAATTTGCATGATCTGCTTAGGCAGTGATGGATCTGTTTTCACTTGAGAACTCTGAATAAATGGGGGCAGACAAATATCGGATTGGGGTTTAAGGCATCCACATTCAGTATATGGCTCCAGAGAGCAGTTGACTCATGAACCATTTATCTCTCTGGATAGCCAGGTCATACAAATATCTCTAAATTGTATGATTTTTCAGCAATTTGCATGATCTGCTTAGGCAGTGATGGATCTGTTTTCACTTGAGAACTCTGAATAAATGGGGGCAGACAAATATCTTGGGTACTGTTTTATGTACACAGACTGGCAGTGGGCAATTCTGGGATCTGTTTTCACTTGAGAACTCTGAATACATGAGTTCTGTTTGGGTACTGTTTTATGTACACAGACTGGCAGTGGGCAATTCTGGAGGGGCGAAGGACCAATGCTGCACCTCCAGGGCCCTGTAGGGGCCCCCACACCATTTCCAGGACAGGACAAAACTAGAAAGTGAAAGAACATTCACATCTAGACTGTGGGTGGGTGAGATTGAAAATTAGGTGGCTGGGTACTGTTTTATCACAAAACCTATGTTCCCCTCAAGGAATGGGAACATAGGTTCCCATTCCCCAAGTATTGGTGGGATGTTTGCTCCCCCCTTCTTTTGTGATAATGCACAGTGGAGGCTGTTCGCTTGTGTTTTGCTAGAGCAGCGAATTCACTCTAGATTCTAGTCTGAACTTTGCTGGATTCTAATCTGAACTTCTCCATCTGCACAAACAGCAGATGAGGATTGTGCCTGTTTTAAAAAAAAACATAGCCCCAATGCAAAGATTAATCCTTCTGAGAAGTCACTCTTTCTTCACATTAAGCACTCTGGGTGCGTGTTTCTAACGTTGCAAGTCAAAAAACTAAAACAACTCTCCATATTCTAGGCACTTTCTGCTCAGGAGAAATTTTTCACTTACTGAAAATATCAGTTTTCCCAACAGAATTAGATTTACTAAAGCTCTAGACATAACCATTCTTTCATACTGACCTTTCCTCCAGCCATCATTGCTAAGCACGAAGAACCTCAGTCTCTAGCAAGCCCTTTTTATTCCAAAAGCATCTTGCAGTGATAACAAAGCACACTTTGAGTCTGAAAGTACCAGCAAGATATACGTTTTGCCCTTGTGCCATCTGCCTTGCATATCAGCAGGAGGCCGTAAGACCTCTGGCCGGGGGTCCTCTTGAACACTTAATCCTCATTATTCTCATTCTGTCTTTCACTGCACATTCTTGTTTGCGTTGCTGCCTGGCATGTACCACATGCTGAGCCTTGGTAGCTGAATTAAACTCAACATGCCGATGTTCTGGCCTTGGAAAAGTGTCTCTAGACTATTATGGACAGAAGTAATTTTTTTTTCTCAAGGAGAGCAGTACTATTGTGGTATTTCTGGGGAATTGGTTTCCTGAGGAGTTGCACAGCTTTATGCTTTATGTGGAAGCTAGTGGGTTCTGCTGGGTTGGGTTTGACGCAACTCCGGGAGGCAGTGGAAGACAGGAGGGCCTGGCGTGCTCTGGTCCGTGGGGTCACGAAGAGTCGGACACGACTTAAGGACTAAACAACAACAAGTGGGTTCTGCTCAGAGCTGAAACAATAAAACAGCCTTACGTCATTTTGAGAAATGTCTTATAGTATAGAATTTCATTGACTGCAGTCCCTTTCATTACATGCAGTTGTTTTTTATCTTCACTGAGTAAATATGGTTTTGGGAATTGCAAACACGGAGACTGAAATGCAGGAAGCTCCGTGGCTATTCTTAAAGCATTTATTGAGTGATAACATAGGGATCCTGCCATAAGTGAGTTGATTAACACAACTGGTATCTACCAAAGAAAATCTACTTTTGAACTACACTTTCAGAATACCCCAGCCAGCATGGGCTGTAGGCCCTGTTGCTAGAATGTGTATTTATTTTATTTGTTTAGAATATTTTTACCCCACATTTCTGCAAAAAAAGGTACATAATTAAAAACACATTAAAAGCTTAAAAAACAACCCAGTAAATTATTCAAATATTAAAGAAAACTTAATACCATATTTAAAACATTAGATACAAGCATTACAAAATAAAGTCCAATAAAGTCCAAGTCCAAATAAATTACAAAAATCAGATTTGGAAGCCACAAAATATATAGTAAACCATTCCATTTATTATGTCCCAGTGTGGCTGCCTCTAAGGGAAAGGCTGCCTGAGGAGAAAGATCTTCCTCTGATTGCAGAAGGACAGCAAGGCTGGGGCCTGCCTGGCTTCTTATGGGAAGGAGTTCCAGAATCTGGGGGCAGTGACAGAGAAGGCCTTCTTCTGTGTACCCACCAAATGCACCTATGAAGGTGGTGGGACCAAGGGAGAGGCCTTCCCTGATGATCTTAACACCTGGGCAGGCTCATAAAGGGAGATACGCATTTTTAAAGATACCTTGGACTTGCTTCATAGGTTGAAACCAGCACTTTGAATTGAGCCTGGAAAAGGATCAGCAGCCATTTGGAGTTGTTGTAACAGGGGGCGGCCCCACATAGAGACGTTACAGTAATTCAGCCAGATGACTACTGTTCTAGTAGGTTCAGGTGAAAAGTTAACTTTCCTCATATCTGGTTTTTATAAAACCCAAATGTCTCTGCTGAAACCTCAAGAGACCCACAGCTCCCCTAGTCCTGCTGCGCCGTTGTTGAAGCCGTCAACCAACCCTTGATGTCCTTGTTTGTTTCTGTTTTGCAGGTTTTTAGACAAGAATCCACCAGAAACAGGAGGCCCTATTGGCTCGAACAGGTTTATCTTGGGGGTATCGTACAGAACGGTGTTTTGGGTGTTGAACAGAGGCCCCCGTGAAGAAGGAGGAGGATGAGACAGCTGAAAGGGAAGCCCAAAAAGGAAACTTCCAAAGATAAAAAGGAGAGGAAGCAGGCTATGCAGGAAGCCCGTCAGCAGGTCACAACGGTGGTGCTTCCCACCCTGGCTGTGGTGGTGCTTCTGATCGTTGTGTTCGTTTACGTAGCAACCCGCCCAAATACAACTGAATGATATGGAGCGGATATTTCGCAACGTTTGGGGAAGTCATGCTTACCTACTCTTTTACCAAGAGCCAAAAACTAAAAAATCCCCAAGAGGGGGGAAAAAGGAATGTTTTTTCTGAAAAGGAGTGTGGTTTCTTTGACTTGATTCAAGCTCTTCAGTTCCTTTCGTCTCTTGGAATGTGGTACAAGATGTATCTGCCATCTTGGTAAAAATTGCGCTCTGTGGTTCAGCTTATGTGCCTTTTTGACTTCAGCCGTGGATGATTCTCCCATTTTCAATCTCTGTCATAAAAGTGGGTTCTGTTGTCAAAGTTTCTATGAATTGGGGTGGGCTGTTTGGTTCCCCCCCCCCCTTTTCAATGAATTTAGCAACATGTTAATGTAATTTCTGCTTGTACTTGTATGTTGGCTCCACAACTTCCAAAGAAGTGAAAATTTCCCCTACTCTTTGTGACGATATATCGGCATTTGAAAACCTTTGACTAAAAAAAGATATATTTATTTTTGGAATAAAGATGATTGTCTTACATATAAAGCCTTCCTACTGATTTGCCCCTCTTGTGTGAAATGTTGTTTGTATTAAATAGTGTTTGCTGTCAAACACTCACCAGTGCACAAACAAGAGTTCTCCTTTCTTCCCTTAGAAACGCTGCCAAGGAATAATTTAAAATAATTTTAAGATTTTAATCAGATGAGTTTGTCCTCACAAAACAGATTGTGGGAAGCTGCAGGAAGTCAAAACATCAGTTTACATGATGATTAAATATGTTTCTTAGAAAACCTCAGTCTGTCAGATGGCATTTGTAAAAAGTAATCGGCAACTGGGCCATTTAAAAATAATTAAGAATTCCATCTTGTCCTTCTGATTTCACTTGCTGAGAGGCTGCTCAGAATCAGACATTAAAAAAACAACATCAATTAAACTGAGGATTAGAGATGGGCACAAACTGGTTCCTCCCAGTTCATCTCAGTTTATAAAGGCGGCGGCAGCTGCTTCTTCCTTCCCCGGCCTCCTCTGGCTCAGCCTCCATGATCTTCTACTGATCTTCCAGTCTTGGCAACAGCTCAGGCTTCTCTGCCCCGCCCTCTTGGCTGATCTCCTGCTATGGCAAAAAGGACAGGGCAGAGAAGTCTGTGCTCTTGCTCGTGACTGGGAGATTAGCTGAGGAAGTGGAGAAAGCAAGCCAGCTGGGCCTGGTGAGTGGCTGTTTGAGCCAGAGGAGATAAGGAGAGGAGCATCTGCACCTCTGCTGCTGCCTTTACAAATGGATGAACTGAGACAAACCAGTTCATGTCCATCTCTACTGAGGATACTGAATCCTGGGAAGCTGCCATATCCTATCCAGAGTTTGAAATAAATGCTTTCTGGACTACAACTCTCAGTATCCCCCAGGCAACATACCCATGCAGAATGAGGGTACTAGGAATAATAATCCATAAAACTAATTTTTATTCCTAGCTTTGATACTAGCTTAGTGCTTTAAGCTCTGCTGCTGAACTATGATTGGAATATAACCACTTCAGGCTAGGAGAAGCTAAATCCTAAAGGGCAAGAAAACCAATGTCAATAAAGGACAAACCCCAAAGCCAGAAGGTCATGAAGGAATAAGGAATTTAATTTAAATTAATTTAATTATCATTTAAACTGGGTGTGGATGTGAAAGCTGGAAAGTGAAGAAAGCCAAGAGGGAAAAAATGGATTCATTTGAAATATGGTGCTGGAGGAGAGCTTTGTGGATACCCTGGTCCATCAGAAAAACAAACAAGTGGATGCTAGATCAAATCAAGCCTGAACTTTCACTGGAAGAAAAATGACAAGGCTGTTGTACTTGGGGTGCATAATGACAAGCCAAACACTGGTTAGAAAAGACAGTAATGCTAGGAAAAATTAAACACAGCAGGAAAAGAGGAACACCAAGTATGAGATGGATTGACTCCATAAAAAACAGCCTTGAGTTTGCAAGAGCTAAGCTGAGCTGTAAATAATAGGACGTTTGGCAGTCTTTTTGATTAGATCATGATAAATCGGAGGTGACTTGACAACACGAAAGAGAAAAGACAACAATAAAGCCTTAACCAGGCTGATGAAAACATAGTGAGAACATGCTAGACAGGACTCCCAATGCTGGAAACATTAAAAGGAAATTTGGACAGCCAATTGTCAGATCTGTTTTGATTTGGATTCCTGCATTTAACTGGGATGTGTGTGGACTTGTTGGCCTTATAGTCTCCTTCCAACTCTGTGATTCTGTGAGTTTGCATTGAGCTGATCTCAGCATTATGCTAATGCCGGGAAATGTGTCATCCATGTAGCAGTAGGTTTCAGCTCCTTTGAGGATGGAACAAGGCCTACTTGGGAAACTGTGAAGCATGAGATCCTATATGTGAAATAAATCCCTTAGATATACCGGGCTTGGCTTCCAAAATCAAAACCCATACCAGTGGTATTAGAATAATATTTGTGTGCCATCAAGTCAACTCTGGCTTCTTCGTGGCCTCTGTGAATGCACACAATTGGGTTGTTCTGCGCCTGCGCAGGACCTCTCAGACATTTCTAGAGCTTAAAGACATGTGATTAGTATGCTCCGCCCACCAGAAGTCCCCTCAGTTCCTTTTTGCCCCCACTTAGATTGGATCTATTTCGAAACGTTAGAGCGATCGTACTATTGTTGAGATTTTTGATCACTGAGATCCTTTATTTTTCAATCATCTTTCTTTGGACTTGGACATTAAAAGACACTTGTTGCAGGCTGATAGAATAGACACATTACAGAAAGAGAATGTAAAAGGGAAGAAACAGGATATTAAGCAAATTCAGACCATAACCCTTTGTATTATTTTTTTTTAAAAATCTGGGAGTATGTCCCTTGGAATCCAGTGAGATTTGTGTCTTTAATACATGGCACACATCCTTAAAGCTATGTGAATGTTCTGAGCCCATGGGAACAACAGTGGAAAAACATGACAGAATTTTTTTTAAGACTGTCTGATTGTAAATTTGCTTGTCTTTGCATTACACCACAGAAGGACACTGTTTGGCTAATAACACAGTTTTGAAAATACGTTCTATTTAATTCTGTAAGTTTACTATAAACTGCTTCCCAAGGCAGTGTGGAACAGAATTTCAAATGTTGAAGCGACAATAATAATAATGGTTGTTGTGGGTTTTTCGGGCTCTTTGGCCATGTTCTGAAGGTTGTTCTTCCTAATGTTTCACTAGTCTCTGTGGCCGGCATCTTCAGAGGAGCCACAACAACCATTAGATTCCGGCCGTGAAAGCCTTCGTGAATACAACAACAACAACAACAACAATAATAATAAAAACATTCCCAATTAAGATGGGATCACCCCACATCTGCTAAGGCATTGATAGAACCCTGCCTCACATGGGAGGCAAGGTATGTTTTAAGGTCATTAGAGCCCTCTTGACAGTTTGGGATGGATGTCAATCAGAACAGGGGCCCTTCATGGTGGGTCAAAACTAAGAAGGCTCCGTCATTTGCCGAAGTTCTCTTGAAGACAGGCACAAAGCCAGGGCCTCTGGTGCTGATTTCAACATCAAGGCAATGAAAAAAGTCAGTTTCTGATTGAAAGTTTTATTTAATACACTCTAGTCTTTCAGTTGTGCATATTATTCCTGTAGAAAACCTTTTTTATGGAGAAGTGTTTAAGTAATAGCATTTCAAACTGTTTCTAGGCATGATGGGATGGCAAGTGAACGGAATGATTTATTACAATCATTTTAGCAGAAGAGCCATACTGCATTACTTCTTGCAACCCCATCATGCGATTCAGACACTGAAGGTGCTCATTACTTGATAAAACCGTTTTTGCATACATTTTCTCAGCCCTTCCATTTTGTCCAAATCCATTTATAGCTGTGATTTTATTACAAGTAAATTTTTTCTTAGCACAATGCCCATCTTGAATCAAGATATTTCAGAGTCTGAGGTCTGAATGGCATTCTTGTAATTTTGTATTTTATTTTGAATTGGAAGAAAATTAAGGGGAGTGGTTAAAATGGATATTTTATTTACACAATACTGGAAATACCTTTTTGCCCTCCAAATGGCTGTCTGTTTTGTTTTCATTCCTAATACTAAAGCAATTTGAAACTGGCTAAAGGTTCAAGATCTAAAAAGAAAGAAAGCTACATGCCTTACTAAGGTGTCAGTTTGTTTGACCTCCAAGGTAAGGCTTGTTGATTGAGCTGCCCTCCCCAACTGAACCTTGTTATTTCAAATGCATTACGAAAAGCATTCTTGAGGATCAAACTGGTGTAAGATATGGTTGCATTTTTTTAAGGAAGGGGAGTGGGGATAGAAGGAAAAGAAAGTATTTGGAGAAAAGCCTATGTACTAGCTCAGAAATCTTTCTAGGGTAATGTAAAATATTGGTATTACAGTGGTGCCTCGCATAACGATGTTAATTGGTTCCATTAAAAACATCGTTATGTGAAAACATCGTTAAGCGAAACACCATTTCCCATAGGAATGCATTGAAAACCGGTTAATCCGTTCCAATAGGAGCCTATTCAATACATTTCAATGGTGAAAACAAAATCACCAAAAAATCAAAAAGACTCAGAACGAAGCCAAATTACGAAGGTTTTATTAGGTGCACTAACGATTCCAAGCATTTTTAACATTTTAGAATATTTTTAAAATAGCGAAAATAGGGCTGTCAAAAAAAACGTTAAGCGAAACAGGGGACCTAAAACTGTCATCGTTAAGTGAAGCAAGGTCCCAAACATCGTTATGCGAAAATCCCCCATAGGAAACATCGTTAGGTGAGGCGGCAAAATTTCCAGCAAAGGCCATCGTTATGCGAATTCATCGTTGAGTGAGGCACTCGTTAAGCGAGGCACCACTGTATTTCAATGGTACTAAAATAAGCTAAGCCCTGCCACTAGCACAAACAGAACTCTCAGAGAGAGAAAGACCATTAAGCTCTTGAACCACAGAGTGAACAATCTAAATATCAATATGAGCCTAGAACAAAAGGTCTGGATGAAAAGGGTGATTGCCAACATTTTCCTATGCACATCTGTTCAGAAGTAAGTCTCATTAAGATATACTCCAGTTAAGTGTGTAGGATTGTAGTCTACACTCTTCAAATAATTTATGTGGTGTAAGGCTGGTGGTGATATCATTGCAAGGGATTTTTCAGAAAGTAAACGTTTCTTTTATCTCTCCCAAAAGTTATGAGGTTGCCATATAATTCCTTTCATCACCAGGAACCCATGGGAGTGGGAGGATGGGAGAGGGAAATGTAATTACAAAAGATCACCACCACAAGGATAACTTTATCAGATAGTAGTCTGAAATGTTTAGTTTTCTTGCAGTGTTGATATCATTAGCCTTATGCAGCATCAGTTAGGGCAACAGGATTTCAAATCATCTTCCTATAATACTAACTTGTGCACCCAATGGCAAGATTAACTCTGAATGTTTCACAATGGCTTGGGAAATACATATTCTTTATTTGAAACAAAAAATCTCATCTACATGAAACAAATTACTGATATTAACCCACAATATGTTTCTGAAGCATAACCTGCATTTGTACCATGCTTGGCCAGAGTGGACCTCAATTTTTTGGGCCCTGAAGCTTGAAAAATTATGGGGGGGAGGCCTTCACAATCAGCAGCATGGTCTGCATCACCAGCGTTATCTTCTTCGTTGGGGTTGTTCTGTTCCATGACAGATCACAATTTTATTTTAAAAAATGTGGACTAGAGATGAGCATGAATTGCCTCCTGTTCAGTGCTTCTGAACCCCACCTCTTCCAGTGGGCTACCCACTAACAGGCAACACCTGGAGAAGGCATGGCAGGGGAGGCAGGGTGCTGCCTCTGAGTGGGCACCTGCCAGAGGAGGCAGGGCAGACAAGTGCAAAACATCTGTTTGGTGGGTAAACAAATAGGCATGAATTGCCCAAATGGTAGTTCGTGCCTATCTCTAATGTAAACTAAAGTTGCTTCTGGGTCCCCTTCAATATTAAGAGCCCTGAAGCTTAAGCTTCCTTAGTTTCCCAGTAGATCCAGTCCTGTGCTTGGAAAAAAAGTACCATGCTTTTATTTTATTCAAATCTCTGTTTTACAGAACTGCTGTCTGGCCTACCTTGAGAGAAATATTTTCATTTTGTGAAACTCACAAAATAATACAGACCTCTTCAAAAATGATTCTATCAGTTGCTTAATTATGCTGCCCATTTTTGCAAATAATAATATTCCATTAAAAAGTACTGATGACCGGCAAAGCCAAAAGACCTGCAGCAGACCAAGAAAAAAAAAAAACCACTTAAAGCAACAGGATTGGTTATTAAAATGATATAAGAAAGATAAAAGTACAATTTCTAAGGGAAGCAAGGCATGTAAAATATCATATGAAGCCACTGTCTCAGTCTCTCAGCTCACTGAGGAAAAGCCAATTTTAAAGTATGGAATGGTTAAAGGCGTATGTTTTGAATCTGGTGAGTGAAGGTGCACAAGATTCGGCTTAGAAACTTCAGCTTTGAAGTATCAGTCACTAGCATCTATCACAAGATAGAATCAAAGCAAGTTGAAATCATTCATTCTTTCTATGGCTAGAGAAATGTGTGTTTCAACAGCACAAGCCATTGTTAGAAAAGAACACCAACACATACAGCAAGTGACCTGAACCAGTTGTGGGAAGGGAAGAATAGTGTGACAGTGACTACACAAGGAAAAAATGTGGGAAATAATATAGGTTTGGGTGGGCGGGTTTATGTTTCTTCCTATTGACCACACAACATGAAAGGAAATGGGAATCATCCAGGAGTCCCCGCTCCCATCTGTAGTTTTTCACCTCTCCATCTGGGGCTTCTACTTTTGTTGTTGTTTAAATCCTTTTGCATCAGTTGAGGTAGGGGCTCACTTGAACTGATGCAGAAAGGGAGGACAAGCCAAGCACATACATACACAAAGCACCTTCCTCCTCACCTCTTACTTCATGAGGGAGGACAAGCCATGCATTCACACATGAACAAGGCATTGCCAGCACATACTCTCCAGCAAAGCCTGTCTCTCATGACTTAAAAAAATTAATAGCTTCTCCTCTGTGGGCAACATTCCTGGGGGGTCTTTTGGGGTGTTTTAACAGCTTAAGAATGGGGCCTCTTTCTGTAGGGAAGAGGGATTTTTAAAAAAAAACACATAAAATAACTAGATGAGAAACTGAGTTCTTGTTTACTTCTTGTTTAAGGCAGTTCTTTGTAACAGCACCACTTTCAGGGCTATAAATAAAACTGCAAGCAAGCAAGCAACAAAACCCCCCAAATAAAATAAAAACAAAACAAAAGAAAAACGCTTTGTCCTGTTTCTTGTGTAGGCACTTCAAATGTACAGACATGAGTTATCCCGTGCTACTTTAAAGCAAGTGAATTCACATTTCTCTCACTGTGCAGTTGCACCCTAAGATGGGCCCAGGTGTGTTCATCCTGTCTATGTCTTTTCGGATATTATGTATGAACAGCTACTTTCTGACTTTTTCTTTTTCCTCCCTGCTTTTTTCTTGTCCTAATTAAAGAGAGAGAAGAGATGCCAGCAAACCCTGCCTGCATGGAAGCCAACACTAGGAGATTCTGCAAATAAATTTATAAAATCTTTCCTCCCTTTGGTCCATAAATGGATGTCTTTAATACTTGTAAAATGCCCAGAGTAGTGTGTGCGCTAATGGGGTGATCGATCGATTGATAAATCAAATAAATAAATAATACAACAACCAGCAAGTTTCTTCCTTTACATGCCCAGAGTAGTGTGTGCACTAATGGGGTGATCGATTGATCGATAAATCAAATAAATAAATAATACAACGACCAGCAAGTTTGTTCCTTTACAGCTGACCACCAAAGGGATTATTTCTATTCAGTAGTTGCAAGCTCAGTGGTCGTCCACTGTCTTCTGCAAGTAAAAATACCTGACACCCACAACACAAAGCAGAACCATTTCTGCGACCAAATGTCAACTTGATGCATTTGCGATTAATATATTTATGCTCCTCCAGGCGGTGTATTAATGACTATGTTTGGGGAGCAATACCTGCAATGCTGGGGGATTCTGCTCCAAATCAGTAACGAAGAGAGCCTTGCCCTGACGAACAGCTCAGTCCTACTAGTTGTTACTGCTTTTGCAAACTTTCGCCAGGAAGGAGTCTCTCTCTGGTAACAGCGCCTTGGATATTCAGGGAAACCTGTTTCCCTTAGTTATTGCAGGCTCACCAGAATATAACCTTTGTAGCCAGCTCTCCATTGGGGGAAACAAACACTGATGGAAATGACAATATGGCAAGCTGATCCACTTTGGCTACACTGGCCCTACATTGGCCCTACATTGTTTATCCTATCTCTTTCTTCAAGTTTTTCCTTCAAAGCTTACATTGCATACTAAGGAACTGGTAACTATTATTAAAAATCTATGTATTTCTGACAATTTTTCTCTTAATCTTTTTAATATTTTCAGACTGTGGGTAAGTGAATCAGCAGATACTGATCCCATGGATATGGGGGTCTTACTGTGCATTCCAATATGAAAACGCAATTATGCAAACTATCATGTTAAAACACAATTGGAATAAAAGCAGCACCTTCTTTTCTCTCCACTCTCCCTTTCTGATTTGCTCAAAATCATGTATTGGTGGAAGCATCCCCATCACTATCATCATCAACAGCAGCATTGTCTCCTCTCTGTGTATATAAAGTTCCTGGAGGGCAGGGCAGGCACCCTAAGAAGCCAAACACTGAAGAGTGCAGGGTGGCTAACACCAGAGACCCAAGAGTGGGTGGGTGGCTAACACGATCTCACAGACTATCTACTGTTGCAAACAAAGCTAGACATGACCTCAAACGCCTCCAAATGGCGGGATGTGAAGGGGAAGGGGAACTCAACTGGAATAGCCTTCTAAAGGTGTCAGGACGTATCTCTGGAACAAGAGTGCGTCACTCAAGACCAAAGCCAAGATCATGCTATAGTATTCCCAATAACTATGTACGAATGTGAAACCTGGACAATTAAGAAATTACATGTGTGTCATTCATTTAAAATGTTATGTTGGGGGAGAGCTTTATTGCAATTTACAGCCTATCATTGTTGTTCCATTGCTCCTATTCAAGTATCTTTCACATTGTTGGTCAGCCTCAGCTCCAGGGTATCATTCATCCATCAACTTTTGGAACACCTTTTGAATAATACAACATGTTTCCTGCATGTTCTGTAGGTACTTTCAGGTATCTAAAGAAGTCAGGGTCAAGTCACTTTATGAGTACATCTCTCCTTGATGATAAAAGCTATCTCCTGCAGGAACTCATTATTTTTATCTCTTGGTTATTATTTCTGCATACCACCGGTCCACGAAATGTTTTCTCAAGGGAGTTGCTCGGCATCACTCTCTAGGATGCTCATGTGGCTCTGGGCTGTTTCTTGTCCTTTGTGAAGGTGAAATGCAACCAACTGTTTTTTTTGGGGGGGGGGCAGGAATGTCTGCCAGAAGGAAAGGCCACAACCCGAGATGCTGAGCATTGTTTTGCTGCAATCCTAATGTGGTTTTCAAAAGTTCCTTTGTTTGCACTATAACTCCCATTTACGAGCATAGCCACTCAAAATAGAGAAATGTTTCAACCCAGATAAGGCTTTCTTCAAGGCAATATCTTCAAAAATTGGAAAGCACCTGATATGGACCACATGTGACAAAAACTTGGGCTAGGATTCAGCTGTTGGAAAACACACTGCAAAACAATTAGTTCTGAGTGTGATCTCCTTCTGCCTGTTTCTTGCACAAAGGGGCATCCAGCAATCTTGTGTGTGAGCAGAAAGTCCTGTTTAAAGCAATGGAGAGCTTTTCGGTCTGAGGAACTGCAAGGCAAAGTCTGGTGGGACACAGGCAGAGAGTTCTGCCTATAGAGCTGTTAGACTCTACAAAAAAGAAAGAGAAAGGAAAAGGAACAGAATTCTAGCCACTAGTAAACCGTAAACCATAGTAGGTTTTAAATTATCATGATCTTAGAAGGGCAGAACTGGAAGGGATCATTGAGTCCAGACCTATACTACTCTGTATCAGACTATGCACTAATACGTTGTGGATAGTAGAAGGAAATAGGACAGTCCCCAAAGTCATGGCAGATGACAATAGGCCACAAATAACCAGTGGTTTTCTTTGGGGAGCTGGGATAGAAAATCCAACCAACAGCCATCAGCGGTGGCGTTTGAAACCTACATTCCCAATGTGTGTTCCCAGCCTGCATTTTTAAACTCGCCTTTAAGAAACAGACCTGGAGCAAACTTTGAATCGGATGGATATCAAACATGAGTATGCTATATGGACATCCAAGATGCATTTCAAATTTCAAAGGTTTCATATTTATTTTTCAGATTTTTTTTTAGGTCTTTGCAATACATAATAGTCCATGTTCATGTTGAAAAGAAATCCACACCCAAATTATATATAACATCTCATGTAATAAGCACATCTTTGCATAATATAATTTCTTCTTCTTCTTTTATATAAATGCTACCTGATGATTTACTCTGGGACTGTCACGAAATGTTAGCTTTCTTTTTCAGGCTCATCTGTGTCGGCTGTGCTTGTTCAGATTAGAATATTTCTTTAGGGTGTGCTCGGTTTGCTTTTGCAGTTCATCAATGTGAGAGTTTAAAAGCAGTTCAAATTCTCTTGCTCGCTTCTCTTCCTCTTGTAGGAACCTCTCTGTTGTGGTTGTAGGAAACAGAGCCTCTGGGGAAGTCTGGATGGCACAAAGAATTGGTACATTTACTACGGTGATAATTAGGCAGGTTTTTAAATTAGAAACTGAACTGGCAGTAGTCTACCCTTAAAATCATCTTTTAAAAATTACTTCTTTGCACTATGACTACATGAATCACCAAGTCTGGGGATTTGGAAAGTCACAGTGCAAAATGAAACCAAAAAAAAACAACAAATGCCACATAGCACAACACAACAGAACGCAACACAGGCTGCTTTCCATAACTGTGGTTTTTCATAAATGGTTCTGGTGCCTATTCAGATCCATATCCAGAATTTTCTAGAGCTTAGTAGATTCTTAGGTGGGAACCCTGCATCCACCTTGTTGTGAAACAACAAGAACAGACAGAATAAACAGGTACGGTCACAAAAGGAACAAGTGTTGATTCAGTTAGTGCCCTGGGGTTATGGATAAATGAATTAGAGATGTGTAGTGCCCTTGTGCAACACCTGTGTCATGACAAGGAGATTTAGTGTGCTCTGCATCAGTATTTTTTCTATGCCCAATACTTAGGCTATTGCTAAAAACTGGTAGACCTCTGAGATTATTTGGGGATACAGCATCTCTGCTCAGGAGGCTGCTTCTGTGCCTTGCCTTGCCCCTCTGGTTGAGCAAAGGCTGGAAGAGCTCCCTTTCCCTCGCTTTCAAGCCAGCTGAATGGGTTGGAATCATTTAAAAGAGCCAGTGATACCGTTCAAGAGACAGCAACTCCAGAGTGAAGCTGTCTAGGAAGGCCAGAAAGAGTAAGGAAAATGGGAAGATAGAGCCTGGAACGATTGAGTTCCTTTAGTTTTCATTAGAAATAGGCAAAAGATGGGAGAGAGACTGATTGAGAGTCTTTGCCATCTTGTATGCGGACACTGCTGCCCTCCCAAGACACATTTTATTTCAGGAGTGAAGTGAAGAGGACTGAAAGAGGTGAAATCGGTAAGGAAAAGCCCCTGAGCATGTCTCAGCTTCATTCTGGGAGCTGGCCACCCAGCTGGCCCACGTGCTATGGAGGGTCTAATATCTTCTCAGGGTGGATG